GCCGGATTATCATAGGGGCTGATGGAGCTGCAGCACCAGGCCCATGCCTATGGGATAGGCCCATTGATTCAAAATATTTTTACTCTCTACTCTTCACATGCTCTTGCTTAAGTATAGAAACTTAAGAGGAATGTAGAGGAACAAAACTGGTGTGACTGATTGACAATGAAATTAAATAAGGTAGAGGTGACTTTGCGCTCTATGCAAATGCTCTTGCTGCTTGAATCTGGCTTTCTTCTACACTCACTACATACACTTTTTCTCTGTCCCAGACGTTATAACAGGCACTTCTACCTGCAAGTAAGACGGTAAGAAGTGGAGTGGACCAGCGAGTGCAAGGAGACAGTATGGAGCATGCGCATCATTAGATGCATTTCTGCCAAGCTTAGGGTGCTGTCTGCACAGTATGTCCTTGGTTGGTCATCCTCCATAATTGGAAGATTGATGTGCAATTTACACCAGGCTGACCATAATTCTTTGTGCAGCATGTCTGTCCCTTTGGGCGGTTCTGGTTATGTGATTCACATCAGTGGCCCACCCTTTTACCCAGCCAACCGAAATCTAGCATAACCGGTCACTGCTGTCAGAGGGTATGGTTTTACTTAAAAGATGAAAGTAAGAGATTACCATAGGGCAGTGTTTCCCAACCCAGTCCTCAAGGCACACCTACCAGTTCAGGATTTAGGGGTGACCCAGTTGTGTCTAAGGTGTTTTTTCTAAAAACACCTTAGCCACTACTATGTAATCCCTAAATCCTCGACTGGTAGGTATGCCTTGAGGACTGGGTTGGGAATCACTGCCATAGGGTATATGTTTTCTGATAGCTATATCCAGTGGTGTACACACAATCCATGCCCCTCTCCCCCCCCGACACACACATACACACAGACAGACACAAGACACAAACATACATACAGACAGACAAGCACACACACACAGACACACAAATACAAAATGTTTAAGTCACCCTCCTGTTTCCTACCTTTTAGGTGCAGGAGGGTGACTTTCCCTGGGGTCCAGTGGTGGCTCAGACTGGTAGGAGTCAGAGTTCCCACTCTGGCGCCCTCTCCTTCCTCCAGCGCGGGCTCTCACTGATAGCTGGGAGGAGTGATGGGCAGTCACTTCCTTCCAGCTGTCCCCTGGCAGTTCATCTCTATCGGGTGGCCCTAACAGCATGGGCCACCCAATGGGCCCCTTGAACGTGCTGCCACGGTGGTTTGCTGCTGCGGCAGACGGGCCCCCTGGAGTGATGGGCCCGGTCGCAACTGCGACCCCTGCGGTATGTACACCACTGGCTATATCCTGTGAGTTTTCCTCCAGCATCACCTCCCCCAGATACATGAGGCTTGGGAGGTTTAACTGTTTTAGTGTTTTCTGTCGATAAGATTCTGTAATTAGGTCCATCATATTTGTCAGCACCAGGCCCAATGGGCTCTTAATCCGGTCCTGAGTGGGTTGTTGAACTAATGGCTAACCAGCAGATACGTAAGGGAAAACACACAACACAGGCTGCAGACATATGTGAGAAATACTGGGGTAGTAAAAAAAAAAAAAAAATTCCTACCTCATCGTACACTACTACTCAACAGTGTTATGTAATTGTAAAACACAAGAAATGGTGCATTATCTCATTGTAATAGGTCACATGTTAAATTGTGTACTGACAGCACCCAAAAGGCACAACTTAATTTTGCAAGGTCTTCCCCTTTTTTGTTGTTCCCATACTATCCAATTCTCCTGTGGAATTGATTAAATGGGTCGTCAGTCAAAATGAACGGCTCGCCAGTCATCTTATTTATTTAATAAAGATTTCTAGGAAAGAGGACAGCAGTCGGGGCATAGAACTATGGTTTGGGGGGGTACATCTCATGACCTTACTGCACCTCTAATACCATATGATATATGCACTGTGTGTCTAAAGTATGAGGTAGTATCTACAGGACTCACTTCAGTGATATTTATTCTGAGGTGTGAACCCCTTAAGGATGGAGGCGATTGTACAAGAAGTCTAAACTCAGTAGAGCACCTTTTGGATTTAAAGGAACTGGAGATTAACAGCTTGAATATGCAGCCAACAAAGCGTGCAGTAACTTTGTAATGTCAACAGAATCCATGACACAAAGTTCAGACTGGGGGATTGGGAGGTAGAGAACGGGAACCACAGGAGTATGTTCTTTATTACGAATATTCGACCGAATTAAATTTAAACCGGTGGTTGTTTATTCACTAACCTCTGAATGTAAACTTTTAGATTAGAAATTGATTTAAGCAGGGCCCTCTGTATCTAGTGTATCCGCATGTGAAACATGTTTTATATAATTGTTTGTCTTGTTTAAGTACAGTGCTGTGAAGGATGTTGGCGCCATACAAATTGTAAAATATAGGCTAAAACATATAACAAATAGTGCAAATAGTTGTGTAGGCGCTTCTGTTAAATGATATAAAAACAATTCAATAAGTGTGTGTGAAAAAAGGTGTAATCCCTTATCACCTTAAAGTCAAACAATGTAAATCAGTGTGAATCACCCACCCAAAGTGCATGTAATATATTCAATATACCACGTATTGTAGGTATTCACAGTACATTTCACATCTGAAAAACAAGTGAGGCATACATAGTGCTCTCTATAAAGTATAAATGTCAGTGGAATTAAAATATGTAGAATACACTCACAAAGGTGGGACCGTATCAGGCTCTGTGTATATAGCCCTAGGGTGCCTATACAGGCTATAGATATGCCCCAGTCAGGAACACAAGGTCCACAATGATACAAATAGGATTCAAATTTATTTGAACAAATAGTATTAGAAATTGTGATAACAAAAAAACAAAAAAAACAAGGGACAAAAAATAAGGCAGGTATAACAATAGGTATCAAATAAATACAGCACATAAAGCAGTGCATATATAAGGGATAACATAAATACCACCAGAACAAGTCCCAATATCAATCAAGTCCAAAACAAAACGCGTTTCAGCCCTAGATGGGGCCTTCCTCAGTGCTGTCCGACTAGTCTATTTTCAGGGTTTGAATTTGAAGTTAAGTGAATAACTCCCTAAACGTAACCAGTACTTTAACGTTATACCGACATTGTATAACCTAGGATTGTCCAATGCAGTCTATTCTTTTGAACATATAATGTCTTCCTACTAAAGGACAAACACATGACTAATTCTGACCTGTGGTCTGTCAACATCATGCACTTCTAGTAGAACTGCTGCGATTATTCAAATGCATCGACATAGTTAGTTAGATAGTTTGCAAATCGAGAATTTCACATATGACCAGGCAGCCCTTTTCATGCACTGTCCAAATGCACAACTCGGAGCTTAGTGTCCAGGAATCCATGAGTGGTCTGGTGACTTGTCGTAGCCTGAACACAAGTCCTGTGGCAGAGAATGGGAAGGAAGTGGTGTTCCGGTGAAGAGGTTACTAGCATTAATAATTGCTTGGTCTCTGACCTAGTCCTTACAATAACACAGTGGGTGTAATGAGACTATGTAGAACCGGAGTTGAATTCCCAAGCCTTGATGATGACCAAGAACATCAAAGTTTACATAGCAGTGTTTAAATGCCTCTAGGGGCTGTGACTCAGACAATGGTTCTCAGACCATCTGATTTCTGATTGGCACTTTTTTGCCACACATGCACACTGTCCTCCCAAGTCTTGGATTGGCTGACATCTTGTGCATGGAGAACAGGCAGGGGCGTATTAGCCGTGAGGCAAACAAGGCATTTGCCTTGGGCGGCATTTTTCAGGGGGCGGCAAAAAACGCCGCCCCCAAATGCCCAGGGCAAATGCCTAGTTAGCCTTGCGGCTAACTGACATCCCGGTCGGGCGGGCGGCTGGCGAGGGAGCTCTTCCTATGAGCTGTCTGCTCAGCTCCCTCGCGCGCCGCACAGTGAGGCTGGGAGCCGTGATATGACGTCATCTTCCGGCTCTCAGCCTCACTCTGCAGCCGGCGCGCGAGGGAGCTGAGCAGACAGCTCATAGGAAGAGCTCCCTCGCCAGCCGCCCGCCCGACCAGCAGCCACTGGACCACCAGGGAGAGAGAGACCTCCCCCCCCCCAGCACTCCCAAAGGTAAGGAGGTGGGGGGGGGGGGGGGTTTAAATTTAA